GATCCTCGAGGACCGCGCCCTAGTCGCTCTCCAAGGTCCCAAGGCTGCCTCCGTCCTCCAATCCCTCGTCACCCCCGACGGTGCCAACTCAGATCTCTCCTCTCTCTACTTCGGTAACTGCCGAGAGCTGCACCTCACCTTCCCCGACGGCACCACCACCCCGCAGCCCCTTCTCGTCTCCCGAACCGGCTACACCGGCGAAGATGGCTTTGAGATCTCCATCCCCACTGCCAGCGACGCCACCCTACCTGTCCGCGTTACCGAGCTCTTCCTCTCCAACCCCGACGAAGTCCGTCTCGCCGGTCTCGCCGCGCGCGATTCCCTCCGTCTCGAAGCCGGAATGTGTCTCTATGGAAGCGACATTTCCACCTCTCAAACTCCTCCCGGCGCCTCCCTGACCTGGCTCGTAGGCAAGGAGCGTCGTGACCCCGCCACCGCCAATTTCAACGGCGCCTCCACCATCCTCCCCCAGGTTGCCTCCCCCAAGACCCTCTCCCAGCGCCGTGTTGGATTCACCGTTGAGAAGGGCTCCCCTGCCCGTGAGGGCGCCATCATTGTCGATCTGAACGACGAGTCCCGCACCCAGATCGGCGTCATTACCTCTGGCCTACCTAGCCCTACCCTGGGCGGCACTAACATCGCCATGGGCTACATCAAGAACGGCCTGCATAAGAAGGGCACCGAGGTTGGCGTCTTGGTGAGGAACAAGCTCCGCAAGGCTACGGTTACGGGTATGCCTTGGGTTGAGAGCAAGTTCTATCGTCCTAAGGCTTAGGCTTAGTCTATCCTTTGGTCGATATCTCTTGGTTTGGATGTGGATGAATGGGGCAATAGGAGTGGGTGTTTGGCTTGGTTTCAACAATAGATTCCCCTGATGATGATTCTTGATGTTTGATGTTTGACGTCATTGTTTGTACATAGATTCTGATGATTCATCTTTTTTCTACTTTTTCCTTTGGTTCCTTGTGGGACCAGCAATGGGTTCAACCCTGTCGTGATGGCTGCTTCGTTTATCAGCAAAGGCCAGAATGTGTCCGATGGTACAAGCATGGTTAATGATATCTGGTACATAAAAAAATAAAAAAAAAGTTCCAATATTTCCAATTAGGTATTGTGCAACACGTTATTCTGTCTTGCTCCTTCTAGGTAGCAGGACGTTATGTATGTATGAATAGTCATGCAAAACACGAAGTTTCCCATTTTATCTACATGTATTGTAGATTATGGACTTAAACCTCAGGTAGAATTGATCGGTAAGAAAAAATAAATGTACTCAATGAATAAACCCAGTTCCAATCCCTGTAAAGTTACCTCAGTCACACAAAACCCGCCTATACGCAACACCACAATCAACCACTTACCCCTCCCTCAAACATCCACCGAGTACATCTGACTCGTCGACAACGAAGGAGGCAGATCCCCTGCCCCAGTCCCCCAATCACTTTCATTCCTGCCCAACACAAGCACAAGCTCCTGACCCTCCGTGAAGAATTCATGCCCCACATAACTCTTCGTATACGGCTGACCATTCAGCGTCGCCGACTGAATATAGATGTTCTGGTAAGTAGAGTCGAAGTTGGTTGTCTTCACGGTGGCTGTCTTCCCCGTCAATGGGGAGGTGATCTGGACGGATTCGAAGAATGGCGCTGTTATAAGGTAGACGTTTTGACCGGGGTTCGGAAAGAGGCCCATCATGGTCATCGCGACGAAGGAGCCCATGGCTCCGGAGTCGTCGTTGCCGGGGAGGCCCGTGGGCGTGGGGTTGAAGTACCGTGGGATGTAGTAGTGGGCGCGGGCAGTGGATTTGCCAGGCCGGCTGGCGTAGTGGTACTGGAAGACGGTGAGGAAAGCGGGTTCGTTGCCGATATAGGTGATGCCTTGGTCGTGCAGGTAGTCCAGGCGCCGGACAAATTGGGTTGGGCCGCCTAGGAGGGTTACGAGGGTGGCCATGTCGTGAGGGACGAAGCTGGGGGTGGTTGGTTAGTGGTTTGGTACTATCAGAGGGTGGGATGATTGGGGGCATACAATTGGTATTCCCAGATGCTGGACTCGAAGGTCTCTGCTCCGTTGTTTTGTAATGAGCAGGATCGTCCGCTTGTGTCGATGTTGGAGCATGTTAATGGGTCCTGGGAGTGTAACTATTAGTTGTTTTGTTTGAATCTAAGAGTCAAGATGGGGTGACGGACTTGAGATCCCCATGTTCCGTTGAGATACTTAGGCTGGAAAAAGCCCTGGAATCCCGTGTCGGTGCCGTTGAGAAACGAGGTTTGGTCAGCTCGGAAGAGGTTCTGCCAGTACTGCGATGTTCCCTCGTACTTCTCGGCATCGCCGGTTTTGTTCATGGCCCGAGCCATTTGGGCAATTGTGAAGTCATTGTAAGAGTATTCCAGTGTGCGCGATATGCTGCGAGTCAGGGTACCAAAGCCGATGTAATCGAAATCCTCCACGGGGATGTAGTTCAACGCCTTCCAGCTCATCAGCCCGCCGCGTCCCTCATTTGACCAATCGAATGGTTCCTCCTCAGCGTCCTTCACTACAGCCGCATAGCCTGCATCCCAGTCGATGCCGTCTGAGATGCCTTTGGCGTATGCGTCAGCCAGAATGACGTCGGCGTTCGAGCCACCCTGTGTGTAACCTAAAAGGGTTAGTCTCAGATATTCTCGGACAGGCAGGATACATACCTTTGCAAAGCGACATACGGCAATCTGGAAGCCATCCCAGATGCCGCTGCGTATCAATTAGTGAGCGAATAATGCGAGTCAGTGATGCAGGATCGAAGATGGTTAGAAACGGCATCTGGGACCGGAACGAGTCCCACAGGCTGCAGAGGTCAGTGAAAGGAACGATTTATTCTGGGGTCACTGCATACCAGTAGAATGAGTCAAAGTAGGGCTCTGAGCTGTCCCACAACGGGTTCTCTCCTGTATAGTCTTGCGGGTTGACCATAGTCCGGTAGATCCCGCTGTAGAAGTTGGTAAGCATGCTCGAGTTGATGCCATTTCGCGACACACGGATCGGAGCCATCTTCTGCGTCCACATGTTCACAGCTGCAGATTGAGTCTTGTTGAAGTCAAAGTCCGGAATTTCAGCTTCTGCATTTTGGCATGCTTGGTCGCTACTGATGAAGCTCAATCCCACCCGAGCATGGACCACATTGTCCGCGGAAGAATTGAATCGGATAAAGGCACCACCCTGAGAACCGTCAATAGGCCATACATGCTAAGTGGGACACAGGTTGCGAACCGGAAGCGGATATCCATTGATACTTCGTGATATGGTAAGGTTTTTGACATCTACGCTGGCCCGCGCATCAACAAAGATGCCATTATCTCGGATATCACCCGCACCATGATAGTCGGCGCAAAAATACGGCACATAAGAGCCGCTCCCAAAGCTGGGAAGAAAGCGTGCATGGCCGGTCATGCGCCCTGTTGTTGGGTCTACGGAAATAGTGCCATTATCCTGGCGTGTATCCGACAGGTCAGACAGATCTAAGAGGATCAGAGGGCTCGACGGCTTGTCGACCGGAAATTGAAAGCGGAATAGAGCAGTATGATGGGCAGTTGTCATGTCCACCTGGATACCAGAGCTCATGTTTAGCCCAAAGTACCCCGGACTGGACTTGACCGATCTGGAGTTGTAGGAGGTCTTCCGCTCCTTCTTGGGATAGGCGCAGCCATTGACATCGTCGTCTTTGCAGGTCACGTAGGGGAAAAGAGGGAAAACGCCCAAAGAGGGTTGCCCACCAGTCCCCGAATCATGCATACTGGAGAATCCGGTAATACTACTGCCATCGTAGGCGAAACCTCCCTGATTATTGTCCGAGTCCGTATCGGCGACAGCCTTGGCCATGCCGTATGGGATCGTTGCGCCCGCGAAGACATTGCCTGGAACCCGACAGTGAGAATAGCGCGCCAATTGTAGCTGAAATATCTAGTGCATACCTCCATTAGCGCTTCCGATGAGGGGATTGATGTATTGTAGAACATCATAGTCGTCGACCGACCCGGAAGAGTTGGCGCAACCCGCAATGCAGGGGAGGGCTACGGACAGAACCAAATGCCTCCAATTAATCATGTCGGCGATAAATGATTGAGCAAGGGAATGACAGAGACAAGTGACGAGCGTGGTATATGTTGTGTTTACAAAGATTAGACTGGCATGCTGACATGGCCATCAAGGGAGACAAGAATGAGACCGTGTCCCCGCGAGGAGGGGGATATCGCCGACATCTTCCTCATGCATGAGAAGCAATCCCATGCCCCTGATATAAATTATTGACAAGGTTTATCGCTGCAATGTAACCTTTGTGGCTCCGTATGACCAGTCTGAAGCACGATGATCGTGCAGGCAAGCGTCTTTAGCGTCTCTCCCTGGCATGAAGCGAAAGGTCATCTGTGCAACAGAGGCCTGAGTCCCGTGAGAAGCTGGAACCGTTGTTTTACTACATGGAGTGCTGCCAAACATGATCCTGAACCAGCGTAGGTATGTGTAGATAGATAGAATGAACTGACGAGACCCCATGGTGGAGCAAGCTGATCGACGAGACGAAGGAGTAGTACTTTTAGTAAAGCAGATAAGATGCGGAGGCGGAGTTATTGATCGGGAAGGATTGTCAGCTTTACCGGCTGCTGAAGGACGCCATTTAAACCCAACTTACCCCTATATCATAGGGGGGACCTGGAAAGTGATTTCAGTTCTCTCACGCCATCAGGACGACTTCGTACTATCCTGAACTCTTGCAATGGACATGAGGAAGTCGCAAAGTCAATTGCAAGGCCCCTTGCGAGAGCAGCCGAGGTTCCAACGCAGTGCCGCCCCGCCCGACGCCAATCAACGGAGCCTCGACCGATTTTCACGATGCGGAACCATGGACTTCCTCCTGGAAGAACAGGGCGAGGATAATTTGAATATTTCCGCTGGAACTGGTTTTGAATGGCGCCGCAAAAGCAAAGCAACTTCGAGGCTCTGCTGATCTGATCGAGGGGCTCCTTTGCGCTTCACCCCCCAGTCCATTCAACTCTCCTTTTTCTTTTCTCCCTATAAAAGCCTCTCGTTCCATCTCCAAGTGTCAGAGAGCCCACAATCGTCACCATGCCGCCGGTCCCAACAATGCTAGGCTCCACTACCATGGCCAGAGCTGTTGCTCATGCTCTTCCTCTGTCGCGTTTGCCTCCGAACCAAATTTCTTCGCTGTGCCGAGGCATCTCCCTATCCCAGCCTCTTGCACACAGAGTTTATTCGACCGCTTCTGCAGGTATGTATTCACCCCTTCCTTGCACAATGCTTTATGCTTCAAATAGACTTCAGTCTTTATAAAAGCACTTACTCAAAATCAAGTGTCCTAACTAATCACAACATCTCACAGAGGCAGCATCCCTCTCCTCACAAGCACCCCCGACACGCTCCCGCTTTCGCCGCTTCGTCGGATTCACCACCCTAGCAGTCGTCGCCTTCACTGCTGGCTTGACCTACCAAACCTCCAAATCTGTGTCGCGCATGATGACGCTCAGTCTAGCTACCGACGAGGAGACTCTCTCCGCTTTCATTCCTCACGATGAGTTCTCCAAGGAGGTCAACGACTATATCCGCAACCACCCTCTGGCCGTGTCGCTGCGCAACAACCCTGCTTTCACGGAGTCCCGCCCACACATGAAGATACCGGAGAAGCTGCGCGCACGCACTCTCACAGGTGGCACACTCGCTGGACCGGACAAGATCGTGGCTCCGCCCTTGGTGTTTTGCGAAGAGGGTGGAAAGAGCTTGGTCTCGCTTTTCTACCTCGGACCAAACCTCTGCGGTCACCCGGGAATTGTGCATGGTGGATTGCTGGCCACATTGCTGGACGAAGCTATGGGACGATGCTGCTTTCCTGCTCTGCCGAACAATGTGGGTGTCACTGCCAACTTGAACTTGGATTATCGCAAACCCGCCATGGCCGGCAACTATGCTGTTTTGCGGGCGGAGACAGTGAAGGTGGAGGGTCGGAAGGCCTGGGTGGAAGGTCGCATTGAGACTCTTCCTGAGGACGGAAAGGAACCGGTGGTGCTCGTGGAGGCCAAGGCCTTATTTATTGAGCCCAAGCAGGCCGCGGTAGGTTCAAATGATCGAAGCATGATGCAAAGACGAGGCTAATTGGACATGCAGGCCATGTCGACTCTCTACAACATGACCAAATGATTGGCACCCGATTCGATCTAATTCTATATATACATTGGACATTATTTAGAGTCATCGTGATTCGAACTTTCAACAGGCGTATAGATGGTTGGAGAGCTACATTTGGATTGTACATATAGATAACTTTTGTTTTAGTATACTATACCTATTCTAGATTGTGAATTTTGATTTCCAAACCCAAAGTACGAGCAGAGAAGTGTTGCAGGCTTCTTGGTCACAGTAGCTGCCGTAGAGGCCTTATCATACAGGTGTTGGATTACAGCTCAGGTTATGACGAAGACACCGTGGAATTGCTACTATTACTATTGCACAGGTGTCGATCTGACTAACGTATACATTGTTATCAAGCTGTCAGAGGACTGCAGGTCCATGTTTACTCCCAATAGAGTTTCACGATCTGGAGGTTGCATTTGACGTCACACTCACGCCAGCTTGTGAACATCGCCAGAACACCAACGCCAGCTCCTCTCTATCAACATCCAGCACCACAATACGACTGGCACAATAATACACGATGGCTCCGAGCATCATTATCGACCCCAGTAACCTCCAACCCCCGACGAGACATCCTACGTCCTCCATCGACCCTGCATCAGAGCTGCCTCCGGCCAAAGAAAGCAGAGTCCATCCCTCCAAACCAGGCGAGGAGAATGCATCGATATACTTTGTTGGCACTGCCACGACGATCATGCGCGTGATTCCTCTCTAGGTAACGAGATCAAGCCAAAAACTAACAAGCAATACAGACAATGGCATGGAATTCGCATCATGACTGATGTATGTACCACCATGCACCTTGCCCGGGGAGTCTAGACAGAAGCAATAATATCGTTAGCATGCTGACTGACTAGATCAGCCCAACTTCCTTCACGCAGGGGACCACGTCCACCTCGGTCCTGGAGTATCCTCGACTCGAAGAACGAATCCGGCTGTAGATCTAGAAGAGCTACCGCGGATCGACTTGGTGCTTCTTTCTCATTATCACGGGTAGGTATGACGTTTGACTCATTGGAGTGAAGAAAGACTGGCTGACGAGTGAAATTGTAGAGATCACTTCGATCAAAAAGTCGAAGCCTCCTTGCGCCGCGACCTTCCCATCGTTACGACACCTCATGCCAAATCCATCTTAACTTCTAAAGGAGATGATTCGTTCACGAGAGTATCCAGCGTGGACGTCTACGAGCAGCTTACAGTCGATATCAAACCCGACCAGAATGACGCACAGCGACAGCAACGGCCCAAGCTCCGGATAACCGGTATGCCAGGGAAACATATCCCGGTTGGAAAACCGTTAGAGAAGCTGAATGAGCTGGTAGGGGCGGTATGTTCCTTCCTCCACACATAGTCCAGCCAGACACTGATGCGTACGCTGGAATAGATCCCTCCTACAAACGGATGGATGCTCGAGCTAGGTTACGGCGACGCAAACAGTTTCACCTCCGGGTACAGAATCTACATCTCAGGGGACACGCTCATGTTCGATGATCTCAAAGAGATTCCGCGTCGGTATGCAGGACAACCGATCGACCTGATGCTGGTTCATCTAGGTGGCACAACGGTACCCTCGCCGGCCATGTTGCCATTAGCGATGATGGTAACCATGGACGCGAAACAGGGAGTGGAATTGATAAAGTTGATTCGACCACAGGTGACCATCCCCATTCATTATGATGATTATGACGTGTTTGCAAGTTCGTTGGATGATTTTCGGGCGCAAGTGCAGGCTGCTGGGTTGGATGGGGAGGTTGTGTATCTGGACCGGGGAGAGGAATATCAGTTTCGCGTCGTAGAATAGGGACAATGGGTGGGTGGATGGCGAGAGGCAAAATAAGTCACATCTCAACCATGGCTGACCACGGCAGCGCGCCCCGCCAATCAGCATGTCTTCATTCCAGCGGACTCGTACATCCCGCCCTACCAGCGATGTTCCCATTTGCCATGGTGAGATGTCTTGACCGAAATTGATCGTTAGTACTTTTATTTCCATTCAATAAGATCCATCAGTTGTTCATCCACGTAGTTATCCCAGGTACGAATATGTTAAAAAAAATTCCGTTACACCACATCTGCAGTGAATGGCAGGAAAAAGGTACCCTTATGATGTCAGACTGAACCAGTAGTTAGTTACCATCCATCATCTGCTACATGACTTAGTACTTACCCTGCACGGCTTGTTCCATCTGATACTGAGTGAATAAACAGCCAACCATTGAATACAAAAGAAGGACGTCTTCTTCGCTCATAAGATCCCCCCAATTCTGACCCAGCCCATATAAGTACCTCACCGAACTTTTCTTACCTTCTGCAGATCTTTTCAATATCTTAGACGTCATAGTGACTCCAATCGTCTACTTTCCCTAAATTGGCTTCGATATCTCCATCCAATCCACTGGAACTAGCTTTGTATAAAAGAAACAAAGGGCGGAATACGTCGCTGATCTTCGTCCCTTCACAATCCTCTAAATCCAACCTAATCTTTCAAGATCGGCACTTCTCTACGAAGCAGGAAATCCACAAAAAGAAAGAAAGAAACCAAAATGTCCCACAGCCACAACAACTACCACCCAGTCGCCTCAGCAGACAAAGTCCCTACCATACACACAATCCAGCCCATGAAACGCTCGACTTCCTACTCTCCCACCCAAGAGAGTGACGAAGAGTACAAGCAACACGTCAAGAAAGACAGCGCGAGCAGCACAGTAGCCTGTGGCAACGACCATAAAGTGAAAGCCGCGCTGACAGAGCTTCTCAACGACGACGGAGTGAGATGCAATGCGCGCGGAAGCAGATCGGTGCAGAACTTGCTGATGGATACGGAGAAGGCGCTGAGGAAGCAGCGCAGGGAGTCGCTTTCGGGACGGGCTTCGATTTCGGTGGCGAAGTGAAGTGATTTCGGTGTTGATATGAGATCTTTTCTATTTGACTGGTGATGACATGATGAGTGAAATGGGGGTTTTGCTTTGATTGTCGAATGGTGGCTGCTTTGTGCTGGTGTATGTGCATGGTCGAGTTCCTCGTGCTGGTCTGGGCTGGTCGGTACAAGAGGTGCGCGCTGTGTCGATGGGGGGGGCGGGGTCTTAGCTGCTTCTGATGATGTTGATGCTATGTGAGCCGGCTGTATATAGAAGCTGCTTGGTTCGATATGGTTCATGCAGGGTAGTAGGGCTGGAGGTTAGAGGCACAGCTGATGCGCCGTTGCAGGAGTTGGAGACGACATGTCTATTGGTGGCAGCACAATACACATTACAGCTTAGGAAATGCAGTCGCAAGGGGTTCCTATGCCATAAGTCAATATATCATTCATGTGTTTATGCAAGAATTGAACTCACTAGTATCGTGTTCTACAACTGTACTGTGTAGAAAATAGTATAAGAGGCGGCGCGGCCTATACACCTAGCTTATAGTTAGTAGTATGTGGCCTCTTCGACGCATAACACATCAACAACAGTAGTAGTATGACCTCAAGCTGTCAAGTTCGATAAAGAAGACTGTAATAGACGAGGTAAAATAGTATTCCATCCCTCATAAACATATAACAACCCCAAAATCAACTAGTACCAACCAAGCAACCCAATGAAGCCAACCACCGCCGCCGACCGCCTCCGAGTGACGACCGACCGACCGACCGACCGCAATCGATCCTCCTCCGCACCAACAGCTCCAGCTCCAGTTCAACTCCAACCAACCTCCCCCTTCACCTCTCCACAGCCCATCTTCCCTTATTCCCCCGTCTGCACCGCCAGACCACATGCGTGGCAACCCCCTTACACCCAGCTAATTTTATATACCCCCGGCCACCATGTCCAAATCAACCAAGTACCTCCTCGTCTCCTTCCCCACGTCCATCACCCCCTCCCACCACCGCGACGACGCCCTCGACGCCATCTCCACCACCGTCTCGTCCGAAAATGGCTCCGTTGCGCCCTTTCCCATTCCGGAGTTCAAGATCGGTACTCTCGATGCCCTGGTGCAGCAGGCCGACGAGCTGGCTAAGCTTGAGGCCGGCTGCCAGGGGGTGGTGGCCAAGGTTGGCGATGCGCTGAAGAATATTCTGGACGGGGATGAGGCGCAGATTGATAAGATGAAGACGGTTAATGATAGTATGTTTGAAGTGTCCATGGATAACTACTCTTGGGGATATGTGGTTAACGGGCTCATCTAGAACCGGTGGATCAGTATCTCCGCACGTTTTCGTGGAATAAGGTCAAGTATAGGGCTGATAAGCCGCTGGGGGAGTTGATTGACTTGCTGCAGAAGGTGTGATTCATCGACTATTTTGTCCAGGGGTGGTGGGTATGCTGACGGGTGGAACAGGAAGCAGCGAGTATCGATAACGACATCCGCTCGAAATATACCCAGTATAATCAGGTGAAGAATACGTTGGCGACGTTGCAACGGAAGCAGACGTGAGTTCTTACTTTACGCTCCATGTCAGGAAGAGGATGGTGTCTGATCAACTATAGGGGCAACCTGTCAACCAAATCCCTCTCCTCGGTCGTCGACCCTCGTACCCTCGTCCGCGACTCCGAATACATCGAGACGCACCTCGTTGCGGTGCCCGCCCAGCAAGTCAAGGAGTTCCTGAAGATCTACGAGACCGTGGCACCCATGGTGGTGCCGCGATCGGCGACGCTGGTTGCCTCGGACGACGATTTCACACTGTACGCCGTCACGACGTTCAAGAAGCACAGCCTGGAGTTTGTGCACAAGTGCCGTGAGAACAAGTGGATTCCGCGCGACTTCAAGTACATCGAGGGCGGCAAGGAGGAGGAGCGGAAGGAGTTCGAGCGGGTGGGCGGTGACGAGCGCAAGCTCTGGGGAGAGACGCTCCGGCTGGGACGGACGGCGTGGAGTGAGGCCGTGATGGTCTGGATCCATGTGTATGTGCTGCGGGTGTTTGTGGAGACAGTGCTGCGGTATGGATTGCCGCTGGACTTTGTGTGCACGTTGATCCGGGTGAGTCACCTTTCCACCAACCTTTTGCTTGTTTCTGAATACTGACTGCAGCAGACCCCCGGAACGAAGCAGGCAGACAAAGCAAAGCGCAACCTGGACGACAAGTACTCGTACCTGGCGGGCAATGCGTTCGGGCGCGACAAGAAGGGCCGAGTGAAGCGCGATGACCCGGGCGAGATGCACGGCGAGGGCGGGCCGGAGTATACGGCATACGTGTATTATGAATTCGAGTTCAACTGAGCCGACCTTGACTAGTTTGCATCATTCTTCTGCGTTGATCTATTATCTTCCTGTTTATATGTCTAGCGTACGTACATAGAAGTACTCCAATCACCCCCCGATCTATATTCTATCCAGCCTAGGAACATCCAAGCAATAGTAAGCAGTCAAACACAATTCATATATACAACAACAGATCTAATATCTATCTACTCTAAATACCCAACCCATGCTCAAAGAATCTACTCCTTCTTAGGAGGCAGATATCCCTGCTCATCCAAATACTTAATAATCTGCCCCACAGCCTCCTGCACCGGCACCTCATGGTTCTTAATGTGAACCTCGGGCTTCAACGGCGCCTCATACGGGGCACTAATACCCGTGAACTCCTTAATCACACCCTCCCTAGCCTTCTTGTACAATCCCTTGGGATCACGCTGCTCCGCCACCTCAACCGGCACATCAACATACACCTCGACGAACGGCAGACCAGTCTCCTCTCCGGGCGTGGGCACCTCGTGCAGCTGTCTAGCGGTGTCGCGGTCCTTGCGGTAGGGGGAGATGAAGGAAGTAATGGCGATGGCGGAGGAATCAGCAAACAGCTTGGCCACTTCGGCAATGCGGCGGATGTTCTCGTTGCGGTCGGCTTCGCTGAAGCCAAGGTCCTTGTTGAGTCCGAAGCGGATGTTGTCACCGTCCAGGCGGTAGGCGTGCACGCCGCGGTCGCGGAGGAGTTGGTGCTCGAGTTCAACGGCCAATGTGGACTTGCCCGAGGCGGAGAGACCCGTCAGCCAGATTGTGAGACCGCGCTGGGAGCGCAGGTCGCTGCGCTCGGTGCGGGTGAGGGCGCTGGCGTGGTAGGTGATGTTGCTGGGGTCTTTTGTTAGTTTGGGGGTTGGTGGGGGAATTTAGGGGAGGGAAACGTACGTGGCCATTTTGGAGGGAGGGTGTGTGATGTGGTTTAATTGGGAGGGAGGAGGATAATAGAATGGATTTGAAGAAGAGAATGGGAAGAGGAGGGGTTGAAGTAAGTAGAAAAAAGGATGGCAATTGGAAAAGGGTGAAACAGCGGGGCTGCGCCGATCGCGGGGTCGATTTCATTTGACGAGTTGGACTTACGTACGCCTGCGTTCCTTGGATGGTTTCTGCCCCGGCGAGGAGTCATTGGCTCGGAGGGAAGGGCAACGTTACGTACCTCGCTCTAATGCCATGTGTCTAGAACGTTAATTCATTTCGGTGGATTGATTGATTGATTGATTGATATTGATTATCTATTTATCTAGGCCTTGTATGTCAGTCAGTCTACTGTGTGTCGGCCAATTCAATCACTCGCTTTGCTGCTGCTTCAAAACTGTCATATGCCTCCAGTGGCAATCCACTTTCCGCGATCTATCCGGAACATTAGCTTTCGATGATGAGGTGTCGGGAAAAGTTTAAGGGATAAACTGACCATCTGCTGCCCACGCTCCTCGTTCGTCCCGCGCAGTCGCACCACCACCGGCACCGTCATCTCCATCTCCTGAAATGCTAGGATGATCCCTTCCGCGATCATGTCGCACCGTGTCAACCCCCCAAAGATGTTCACGAAGATCGCTTTCACGCGTCGGTCCGACGTGATGATCCGAAATGAGGACTTGACTGTCTCCGCCGTGGCTTTGCCGCCCGTGTCCAGGAAGTTCGCGCAGTGTCCGCCATGGATCGTCAGCGCGTCCACCGTATTCATTGCCAAACCCGCGCCGTTCACTACGAGGTCAGTGGGATGGTAACCTCTTAGATGTGGGGTTTGGGTATATACTTACCTAGTGTTCCGATGCTTCCTTTCCCTTCTAGTCTGTGCTAGGTCAGTGTAGGTTTCACAGGTTTGACTGGGGTAACTCACTTGACGTAGACAATGCCGTCCTTCTCGGCCTCGACTTCCTCAGGGACTTCCTCGGCTGGGTTTCGCAATTGCTGTACGTCTTCCTGGCGCCCTGAGCTCCGAAAGGCAGCGTCATCGAACGCAAAGCGGGCGTCGCGGACTTCGAAGGCGCTTGTGGCGTTGGCACGTACTTCCAGGAGGTACGCCTCCTTTTCCTTGAAAACCCGCCATAATCCCTGCAACAGCTGCGCCAGGTTGTCGTGTGCCGTTGCGGGAAGCTGCAGGTAGGAGGCAACTGTTTCAACCAGGAGGGTTGTGCTGCCAAAGTCCGTGCCCTCGTATGCAAATGGGAACCGGCCCGTCTGTGCTGGTTCGAACCCAGCGGATGTGGAGGCAAGAATACACGGAGACAATGCTGTCCTATCAACGGTGAGGGACAAGAAGAAGTCTGACTCGGAGGGTGCAGCCTCCTTGACAGGAATTGATTCTTTTCTGAGCATATCGAGGGCTTGGAACGGCTTAATGTAAAGGCTTCGGGCTTGCTGGGACTGAGAGACTCCATAACGGTTTGGTCTGATGCGCTTCATTGTATGTAAGCCTCGCCGCTGGTTCCCGCCATTGATAGACTACATCATGTAAGTAAGCTGTCGTGGTTCGCGAGTCTCAAACCTACAGTAGTGCCCACACGCCCCCTAGTTCCCAGAAGAGACTTCATTCCCTCTCCAAACTTCTCAGGATGGTTGACCATCACTACGCCGGCGCGTTCGAGCGCTTCATACTTGGCCTTGGCGCCAGGCTCCCCAATCGCTGTCCAAGCACCTGCATGGCCCATGATCCGCCCAGGAGGAGCATGCAAGCCTCCAACGAGGCCCATTATCGGCCTGTACTTGTCAGCACTGCTTCCCATCGGAACGAATTGACTCTTCCACATACTTAGGATTAGCAGTTCTCTGATTGTAGTCTTTGATCCACTCCGCTGCATCGATCTCTGCCGTGCCACCAATCTCACCAACCAGGATGATCCCATCGGTGTCAGGGTCGTCTTCAAAGATCTTCAGTGCATCGACGAAATTAGTTCCCGCTAGAACATCACCTCCCATACTAATACAGAGACTTTGCCCCAGACCTGCCCGCGTTGTGGACGCGACAGTCTCATAGCTCAGAGTCCCTGACTTCGCAACAATGCCAATATTGCCGGGTGCGAAGCAGGGCAGAGGCTGGAATCCGATTCGGCATTTGCCAATTGCAGAGATGATCCCCGGGCAGTTGGCTCCGACCAATCTCGTCTTTGACTGGGTCTTCAGCATGGAGTGGATCTAATCACCATCAGTTCGTAGCTCTCATAGACGACCCCTGAACCAAATCGCTTACTCGAAGAATATCATGGATGGGAACATGTTCCGCCACTGCTACAACAAGCGGAATTTCTGCTTCTATCGCCTCTTCAATCGCCTTTGCAGTCTGATTACCAGGCACGTAGATCGCTGATGCGTCCGGTTTCGCTCTCTCTTGTGCCTGTCTTTATAAGCATGATACTCTGGATCAGTAGACAATTAGCCATACCGCTTTTACAGATGGGAACACCGGAAGGCCGAGATGCTCTCCCTCGACGCCCGGCTTAACGCCTCCAACAATTTTCGTGCCCCATTCTAACGACTCCTTGACGTTGGCAGTGGCCTGGGATGTTAATAAAGGCTAGTTGCAATCACACTAGAAGCCAACTTACTTGTCTGCCTAAAACCACTGTCAGCGTATAATGGTAGATCGCAGGAGATATACTCACCTGTAAATCCTTGGAACAAGACCCGCGTGTGAGCTCCTATCTTTAAATTCGGTAGCGTGTCCGCATAACTGCAGGTTTTGGACGAGGTCGAGAACCCCTGTGATTGTCTCACTGATGCACGGACGAGATGCCTTCGCGCTGACGCAGATAATGAAGCTAGGCGGGACATCGTGGGTTTCGTGCTGTGGTTGTTTGACGGAGGTCAATAGCCGCCTATTCCAGTAGGAGGTATTGTAAGACCACCAATTGCAAGAATGATAGTTTCTAATGACGGAGGGACAACAAATAACTGATTACTGCTCGCAGTCGCTTCGTAAACTAGAGCAATATCAGCATCCAGTTTCTTGAGTGGTCTACAGGCCTGAAAGAGAGTTGGGGAGGCGGAAGACTAAACCTCGGGAAATGATGTCTTATAAGACGGATACTCCGCCGGTCTCGGACAACTTGCCGACTGTTTCCGAGGTACTAAACAAGAGGAGGTGGGCACTCGGGGCAGTCAGTGCGTGGCTGTGATTGGTCATCTCGGAAACGTGTTGCCGGGTGCTTAGGGACTCGGAAAGGCAAATGCCACATGCTCCGCCCACGGCGTTAGGAGTCACCAATTTGGTGTATGTTAGTTGTTCCAGAATACTATGTAACGATTGAACAAAATGCAAAAATTTTCTGAAATATCGGTGGATGTATAGCTTGCGGATTGGTTCATTTGCATTGTTTTATTTGTTCACATGTAGCTGCTGGACATCTGTAAGTAGTGGCGTGCAGCATTGCTCGGTGCAGTACTGCTATAGAATGACCTTGCACCAGCTTCTAGCACTTTGTGCGGTGTATAGACATTTCAATTAATCTTTGACACTTTCTACTCAGTGGTATCATGTTTCAGTCTGCATTTCATGGTCACGGTACACTAGTAGTAATGCTTCATGTCAGCAAAAATGTGTTCTGGTTCAATTGATCAGCACAACTTGGAACTAGTACTTCACATGAATGGGAAATCCCGGTCCCCCTTCACCAAAAGGGAAATCTTATCGAATTGCATAGTCCAGGTAAGATATTGGTAGATGATGTCAAGTGGTCTATTTTTATGAATTCTAGGCTCTGGAAGCAAGGATGGGAGATCACCCCACACTCCCAACTGCTTAGTCACTATCTACAAAGTAAAAACACAATGCTGGGGTCCTAAACTACGAACAATAGTAGATGAAAGCGCATACTTTGGACTACAAAGTAGGTGTCCTAGATATGGAGAGATGCACATCCTGAGATCAGATCACACGACTCTATTAGAGAGTCATCCTTGCTAGTAGCGTTACAGCCTTGGACAGGAGTATGTAGATCAATGACCCAACTCCCCCATCACACTGTACACACAGCAAGAAACCGGCCAGTCAGACAACCATTCTGTCCATGATAGTCGCTTTCCCAACGCAGATCAGCCACCACACAATGGTGGAAACGTGAACCGTTCCTCAATCTGCAATTCGCGCCAGAAAGACGAAAGCGCTGGACCAACTCGAACTCTGGCCAGCCCAATGCAGAGCCAATCACGGGGTCCGCCTTCCCCGAAAGGCGGGGTCGCACCGCCGGGACTGACGCCATTCATGATTTCACCTTTTCGCTTTGCTTGAAAGCGGTCGGACCACCTGCATTGTCTGTCTGCGAACCACTCCAGATCTTCAACAATAGAATTCCATCAATTAGTTCGATATGGCGACCACTCATGCCAGTTCCATTCCCAAGGGTTCGTTCCTTCATCCTCCTTTATTAACCTTCCCTCTTCCCTCCCCAATTGTACTGCCGCCGCAATAACTGAACCCCTCCTCAAACAAACCATTCCTTCCCTACTATACTTTTCTCCTCCCCAGATCCCCATTGTTACTACTTCCTCACCCCACAGTACCCATGGTACTCCCATAACATAATTAGCTACAACTTCCTTTCATCACAAAAAACACCAAAACTAACACCACTCCCAATGTCCGTTCCAGCCACACCACCAGCAACAACACCGCCAACAGCATCAGCATCAGCAACCTCCGAACTGCAATCCTCTCTCCGCGAACTCTCCCTCACCAATAAAAGCCCCATTAAGGACATCCCCCGACCAACTCCCCCCACCTCTGTCCCCAAACAACACCACCACACAGTGAAGAAGAAAAAAGAGCCTGCCCCCGTCGCCGACTCCTGGGAAGATGAAGTAGACTCTGCTTCCGCCTCTGACCCCGAAGGAGGAGCAGCCGAGATTTCATCTACTTCCCCCGCTACCTCCTCCCGCTTCGCCAGCCCCGCATTGTCGCCTTCCATCCGTTACACTGAAGGTCCTCTAGACCCCCCGCCCACGCCTATCTCGCCGCAGACGTCTGCGTCACAGCCGCCGTGGCCTACGTATGGTGGACGATCAGAGGCAAGGTCGCCGGCGAGGAGGCCGGAGAAGCAGACGGCTGTGGCGGGGAGGATGATCGCCGGGGCGTTGGGAATTCGGGCGCCCAAGCGCACGGAGGAGCAGCGGGCGTATGACCGCGCGGTGAAGGAGCAGGAGATTAAGCGGCGGAATAAGGAGAAGGAGGAGGCGGCAAAGGCGAAGGAAGAGGAGGAGAAAGCTAAGGCAGCGGTGTGGGACATGTAATTGACACTGTTATATCAACGGACTTTCTACACCATACTGTTGGGTGTGGGGTTGGTGGGGATACATATTCTTTGCTATTACTTTGAGCTCTTGAAAGTAATGTGCTGTGCTGGGTGCTGCATTTCTTATCTTCTTCTCTCCTTGATTGTCTGCTTTGGGGGTGGGTCGGTTGTCTGGTTTCCTGTCAATTCTCTATCCTACATACACAGACTCACTGGGTCCAAAATATACGGGACTGTAATATAGTCTTTGCGGTGAATTTCTCAGCATACAAATCCAGATGAATGGACACGAAACAGGAGAGCCTAATCTAGTTTTGCAAAAGTTGCAACCCAGCATAGCTTGAACATACTGATCTGATCGAGGATCTATTCCAACTGTAGAGCACATCAGAGGTAAGACACTCGTCCTTTTCCGTTTTCAGCTTCCATATAATTTGCAAAGCAGCGAAGTTAAAAGTAAAATAGCTGTTTAATCCTCTGATTTATCACTCTGAAAATCCCGATTCCTACCCAGATACACATCTCATGATCGGACGCTCTCCAAATCCGGGCCCGGCTCCGACCCATCAACCAAGTAGAACACCGTGTTGCGCCTTGTGTCTGTTTCATAGAACGGAAGAAACAGATCGAAGGGTGGTCGGGAAAAAAAAGTAAGGTAGTAAGTGAAGTGAGAAAGACAACGGGGCTGGTAATGTATTTTGAAGGACATAATAATCATAATTCATCGAAGACGCTATCTAGCCACCGATTTGTTCCTGGTGCACTTCGAGAGTGTCCCCATCGGCCATCTCGAGCTGCGAGTTTTGGATATGTTAGCCGTGTTCTTTGTGGTTCCCTGGCTTCTGCCAGAGGAGCAGGGGTTCGTGCGGGGAAGGGTGCCGCGGTGCGTGCACGTAATATATCACGGAAGGGTCGTTGTGCAGAACATACAGTATCGGGCGTATCTTCAGGGCGCACGCGGGTGCCATCAAACAGGAACCGAACCGTCGAAGGCTGCTTTCCTTGCCTTTCGCAGAACGCGTCCATCAACTTCTTCAACTGGGTTGTGCGCTTGATCTTGAAGAACACTTCGTTGTTGTTATCGGTAACCTTGATGTTGAGGTGCTCGACAGCCGCGGGAGCCTCTCCGGAGTCGGCCATTGTTGTAGAAGGAATGGAAACGATGAGACTGAAAACTGGAGCGGGGGCGAGTTGTCAGCTTTAATGGACTTCCCGTCGCAAGTCGTTCGTCAGACTGCTGCGGTGTTTGAGTGGCTCACCTATTTGCCGCTTGGGAAGATCGGAACTTATGCGCTAGAACACCGGCGGAGAGACGGACGAGAAGGAGAAGCTGGTGGACGTGAGAAACGACTGGGAGAAGAAAAGGATGGGTGTTGAACTGAGCTGGAGGCGATGAAGGCAACCCCCACCAGTTATAAATATCGGAGAATCTATTTTGCGGCGCAGGTCCAACTTCCCGCTGCTTCGCTGCAGTGAATGAGATCAAAGGTGTTACTACTCTTACTGGGACTTGAGTTTCCCTCTTTATAATCTTCAATATTAGACCATATTTGTTTCATTTTTCTGACTGAGTTTGTTCGTCCACTTCTAGCCTCTGGGCTGTTTATTTCTGAACATTCTTCTGTCTTGTTGCCGGTTCTCTGGCTGAGTGTAGTATATTGCGTCATGGTATGAGTGTAACCACTGACTCCCGTTTGAGTTGAGAGTAACAGATAGCAGGGCGGACTTAAGGAAGACATAGCATTTGACCCGCCTTGCCATCCACGAGCTGTAGGTCACAAAAAGAACATTCTTTTGGTGCATGACTGACAATTGCCAGTGTGCAATACAAGGTGATTACCACCATACAACATCCAGGTGCAGAAATGTCACTGATTCTTGCAGCATGTCTCACGAAGAACTCGTACCAGGAGGAGAAATGCCAGTCCCAGATCAATGCCCTCTATGAGTGCTGCAATGCCTTCTACAAGGCGCGAGGAGAGGACGCAAAGACTCCAAGCTGTCCCAAGCCCAACTTGCTGCGTCTGAAGATGAAGCAACGGGGTATGGAGCCATAGCTTGCCTTGGTAAGGGATTTCGTGTTTTAACAGAGATCTACGGATCATGTACATACTACCAATCATACTTTCGTCGTCCATAGAGTAGAGACCAATTCATCGAGGTCCTTAGAACATGTCCGGTTGTTGCCGAAAGAAAGTGGCAGTGATAGTCTTAGTAGTCAGTCCATCTCAGATAAATCTGAAGCTGGAATGTGACAATTCCCTTGCAGTCTGAGCTCCCATGCTGAGTAAAGAGCTAGGCTAGTTGTGAAAATTGCCAAATTTCTCTAAGACAATCTTGAGCACGCAAAGAGGCCGATTGACCTGAACGAAGATTGAAGCGCTCGTTCCGAGACTCTAATGATTGCCTATAGACATTTGATGAAGAAAGAAAAAAGAAGAGGAGGGAAAAGCCGAAGTGCGCGAGTTTTTATGGTTGTGTGTTGGCGCTAGTCCCCATATGGGCTAGTGGCCCGTCGGCCCAAAACACGGCCAAAAAGAGTAAGACGAAGAAGATTGGAAGTTGCAGTTCTTCCCCGAATCCTCCTGGGAAGCTTAAGGTCCCTTCGCAAACACCCTCCATCTCTATCATCGCCCTTCCCCCGACACACCCCCTTCTCTCCCGATCAACCTCTCCGGCCTTTCCTCGCGCTCATGGCACCCTTAACCAGGGCCACGGGTTCGGGCGCCCCTGCCGGCTTCACGTCCATAAATGTGAGTTGCTTTGTTTTGGCCTTCTTGTAAGGCGGTGCGCTGACCGACCGATGTTTCATTGTCCAGCCTTCCCAACAACCAACGAACGAGTCGGATGTTATCGAGATTGAGGATGATGACGATGAGCCCATGGACGAAGAGGGAGACGACATGGAGCCCAATGAGGATGAAGACATGGAAGATGACTACGTTGACGAAGACGAGGAATCAGAGGAAGAGCCCACTGACGCGCTGAACGGAAGCGAATCACCACTGGATCTGGGGTTCGCTCCAAATGGGCACAGTATGCTCCTTATGGCTTATGGCAGTGCTACGAAGGCTGACTTTGCTAGATGGCACAGATGTTGCGACACCGGACTTGTTTACGTCGGCAGGCGCGCAGGAGGCCTTGCATCCCCTTCGCCGCACCGCTGATCGAGTCACGCGCCAGATTGAGGCCTTCGCCGAAAAGTTGGATCGTTTCAAACAGAAAGGAAACCGCTCGGATGACTTTTCGGATTACCAAGCTGCCTATAACCTGGTGAAGAGCTACCAGACTCTCGCACAAGATGCAATTAGCGACATCACGAAACAAAACACCTTGAAACGGGCCAAGCTTGGATTGGGTGCTGCTCGAAGCAACGGATCCGCATCGTTCGATCCCAAGACTGCAGAAGAGCTCCGGCGTCTACAATTGGAAGCCGACACTTGGCGACTCCTCCTCAACCTTATAAGCATGGACGATCCGCCCCGCAGAGCCAACTCCAAGAAATCGCAAGAATCTGTCTTCCAGGATCTACACCGGTACTCCCCCGATCGCGAGGTCTGGGACCATTTCTTGGCTGCGGACCATTATGCGACGGAATGCGTCATCATCCTGAAGTGGCTCGAACGCTCAGCAAAATACAGTACGCAAGATGTGGACTATCTAATCTCCGAATTAGAGTCACAGGCCGAGAGAGGTCAGGGATCATGGTCCCATGGCTGGCTTTATACGAAGGAGACGATCAAGGGACAGAAGCGACTGCGAGCCTGGCCTCAACCCCTCGAACCTAACGACCCAGGCATCACCGCTACGCTCCTGAGCTCGGATAAGTCGGAGCCACTAGTCACCCAATTAGATCCGGACGCCGTCACACGCCAGAGGCAGAGCCTACAGAAACAGGATCAGTTCTACGAGCGCGCTACATGGATGACTTGCTGGAAGATGCTAAGACATGGAGAGAGTTGGTTCAAGATCCGCGATTGGTGTGCAGAGCGGCTGGAAACATGGCGAGCCGTCAGCATCTGTGGTACTAGCGTGGATGTTGAATCACACACTGGAAGGACGCCTGTTGATGATGGACACACACGCTTTATGAACTGGCGCTCCCAAGAATCCTGGAGGGCTGCCTGCAGTGCTTTGGCACGGAGCTCACACGCCGAGGATTTCGAGCGGGCGGTTTATGCGTTGCTCTGCGGCGAAACAGAGGCAGCCTTTAAGGTCTGCCATACCTGGGACGACTATCTCTTTGTGCACTTCAACAGCGTCCTCCTGTCTCGCTACCAGGGATTCTGCAAGCAATTTCAGCGGAAGCTAAGTCATTCGCCTACCACCCCTGTTGCCTTCGTGCCCGAGCCGGCAGGTTATGCCGAATTCAACAAGTTCGTGCAGTACACTAGAGGGAACGAACGCGTTGGAAGCGAGGCACGGAACCCGTACCGCACCATCCAGGCGACGATCTTGGGCAAGGGATACGACACGTTCTTCTACTCGTTAGCCCAGGCAGTGTCCCAGGTTGCAAACAACAAACCGGATGCGTCATCCTTCGTTCCTGACGTGTCACCTACCTCCGTCGATGACAGCCTTGTTATCGCTGCAGAGGACGGCGATGCGCTCAGAATCGCCACTCATCTTTACATTGTCGCTCATTCCATTGGATATGTTCGCGCCGACACTCAGTTCTACAACACTGCCTGCGTAAACGTGATCGGATATATCGCTAACATGGAGTCTCTCGGTATTGTGGATATCATTCCGCTTTATGCGTCCCTTCTCCCCGAGGATTTGGCGAGGTCTGTTCTGGCTCAGGTATTGATCGAGATTGTTGATCCACGGGAGAGGAAGCTCCTAGTTAGGCTTATGGAGAAGCACGGTATCGACGTTGAGGCTGTTCTGCAGACTCAGTGGGAGTGGCTGAGCGTGAATGTCTCTGCCATTGACCACTCCAGGACGGTCAAGCGGCACCCGAAGGTTGTAAACCGCAAGGATGGCCACTTTGAACTGGTCCCGGTCAAGACGGATTTCATCGGGAATGAGATATCCGAGAGTGATGAGAATGTCATCCGCAGTCTCGAATGGCTTCGCTACGTGGATGGACAGTGGGGGCGGATCTGTCAGCTCGGAGCTCTGTTGTACCGCAAGTTCTATCGTATGGAAATACCCTTGTTCCGTGTAGGAGATGCAGGGCTAACAATATCACAGTTTCGGGGCGACTATCTGCAGCTCGGGAGCTGTGTCGGCGGATGAAGCTATCCGACATCTCGCGGGAAATGTTCGGCTTTGATATTTCGGAGTTCAGTCTCGATGTGGAGGCGATGCAGGAGGTCAACACCCCAGAACCTTCCAGTCCGACGAAGTCGAGGTTGCTCAGCTCCCCCCACAAGCGTTCCCGGTCGCGAACCAACGGAGTCGCGTCGAATAGCCAGGCGAGCATACTACTCCAGCAATCGCAGACCATGCGTGACCTGGAGGTTCTCATCTTGGCGTTTGACGCTCTAGAGAGATATGCAATTATCTACGAAAAACTAGAAAAGTATGTCATGACCATCTATGACTGGGTTTGCGTTGTACTTACCACTGGCGTAGTAACAAACGGCGGCGTGATTCGGGTATGCTCAAGGACTTGAGAGAAGGGCTGCAGGAAGCCCTGGATGACACTAGCGTCCAAATTGATGTCATGTTGGATGAGTGGCTGGTCAACTACGAGAATGGTAAGGAACCTTGTGTGCTTGAGGTCAAGTGTATTGATACTGACATGCTCCCTATAGAAGCCGAGAAGGCGGAATTGGAGGAGATCCGTAACACCTACATTCCCGAAGTGTTCCTCGATTACCACAATACGATGTATTTCTCGGCTCATGTGCTCAGCAGCGAGCTCTTGGTGCAGTGCATGAACCTGGCCACCCAGGTGGCCGAAGTGGAGCATCTTACCAGCAGTTTCGTTGCGGCCCGTCGCGTTGGAGAGCTGATGAACGCGTTGGCAGTATCCAGCAAATCCATGGTGAACACGCACGCGAAGCCTGGCGTCAGGCTTCTGGGAGGCGAGTCCTTGGGGATCTGGGCCCCGCAAGTGTCGGATGAGGAGAATGGCACGACCCAGGAGCAATGAAAGTGTGTATCTGAACTAACGATGGTGGACCGGCGTGTATATTACCCTCATGTTTCTCATTTTCTATGACTTCACCCAATCCTTTCTGGCCAGAAGGATTATGGGCATCTTGCATGTAACAGGGTCGGAGGGATGATCATTTCCGGCGCATTTCCAGGATTTACATCGACCTGAAAATAAAGATCTAAGCTGTATTGCAATAATCAGATGGGTTCCATGTCAAATTTAGCGAATTGCGCCTTTTCAATCTTAAGGACCGCCAGAAATGAATAAACCATGTACTACACCAAGTAGAGGCTGACCTGTAGTTTGATTGCAATCTGATAGAAAGATGCAACCTACTAGAAAGGACGCAACACGTCCGTAGTCAAATAGGAGAAAAATATGCTGTTTTTCAGTCATTGTGCTAAGCATGATGATACGCATCAAGCAATTGGATGAATGATCATATGGTAACTAGTTATTCTTCTTGCTTATGATGAATCATCTGGACTGGTACATGCATTCACTCTTAATGTCATGCTTAGAGGGCTTGCTTTAGTAGAACCGTCGGTCCGCCTAGATACTATTGGAGTTAGCAATAATGAATCAAATAGCTAGATCTCCCTCTCTCGCCAGTTACAAGACTACTAATAGTATTATCGGCAATTCGATCTTGATGGTAATTAGATACTGTTGATTGATTCTCCCATTTAGTATAGATATATATATATACTAGCACCATGGTACCAATACCCACACACCCACTCACTCATTCCCTGTTCACCCAACTCACAAGATAGTAAACTCCTCCTTCCTTCTCCGAACAGACACCTTCGCCACCGGATCCGCCTGCCATATGAACCCGTACTTCCTCACTGTCGGGCTCCACCCATCAGCGATCTTAAACTCATACTCCAGAAGAATATGACACAGAATGATTTTAAGCAATGCGATCGCAAAGAATCGCCCAGGACAAGCATGCTTTCCCAACCCGAAACCCAAATGCTGAGGCGTAGTCGAAACTGCCTGCGCCATCGTCTCGTAGCCGGGCGTCTCGCGCAGTTTTAGAAACCGGTATGCGTCGAATGTCTCCGGGTCTGGGTAGATGTTAGGGTCGCGCATGGCCTCAGTGGTGAGGACTGAGATCGATCCTTTGGGGAGGACGGTTCCGTCGGAGAGGGTCACGTCTTCTTGTGCGAAGCGTCTCATTGCGACTAATTGTGGTTGCGTTAGAAAGGGCTTTTTTTTTCTCAGCTGCATTGGAAGGGATAGGAGTGGGGGTTACCCATATTGTGCGGTTTTAGCCGTTGGCTTTCCTTTAAGATGCTATCCATGAGCTTCAGATTGTTGAAAGTGGACTTGGACCATCCATCCCCTTGCAGAACTGTGATTACTTCGTTTCGTAGCGCCACGATGATTTCGTCCCTTTCCGCGAGGTAGAAGAGTGTCTGTGTAAGCAGGTCCGATGTAGTATGTATAGTTGCGAGTGTGAGTGATATCTGAGCAAGGGTCGGGTCGTAAGGACGGCCTTTTGCGCATTCCTCCATCCACTGCATGGCGTCAACGTAGCGCTCGGGCTCCTTTCCTTGACGGATGGCGTCTTGCTTGGCGGTCCGTCTTTCTTCGACGACCGGGGTGATGATGTCTTTTGCTGCTTGGAGCTCCTTGCGCATCTTGCGGCAGAATGGTAGCAAGTTGGCCACAAAGGGTCGGGTGCATCGTGGGAACATCCGGAGAAATAGAGCTGACATGAATGTGTGGACGGCGTAACCAGCTGTGACGCGGTGCCAGTCCGGGTTGCGATATAGCTTCTCCCCGAGGAACACTCTCGATGTCAGTCTGGAGATTAGATCGAGCATGTTGGGCTTTAGTTCTAAGTCATGCCAGTCTGATGTCGTTATGACATTGAATGAGTATTCACAATTGTTCCGGAGCCAGGTCGACAGGAGTGAATTTGATGAGCTTACCGGGATCGTCTGTGAACAACTCCCCTAACGCACGACCGGTCTCTTCAGACAATGGCCGAGCTAAGCTATCTACCAGACGAAAGAGTTAGTTATGTATGTGTCAGTCAATTGCGGACGAATCCGATCTACTCACCCAGATATGGTGTCAATTTCATGCGCACCATATCTATGATGATAGCCGGGTCCCGGTTGAAAGGATCAAAGCCTCGAATATGGGCGTGGTATTCTTCTGCCACAGCATCCAGCAAGCTTAATGCATGATGGCTCCGGAAGTCATCTGCATATTTTGAAGCGAGCACGATCTTCGGCCCGAATTCCGAATAGAGGTAAAAGGCGCTGCCCTGGTAGATGATGAACAATCAATGCTTATGGGTTCAAGGCAGAGCTTACAGAGGCATACCTGACTGAGTCCAGCCCTGACCAAGCCATGTGCATCCTTGAAGAACCGCTTTAAAGATCCCAGGCTTCCGATCTCAAATCGCCGTCTTTGGTTGATTACAGGAAGGGATGTCTTGAGGGACGGGGCGCTTAGAAGCCAGAAGAAAACTGCTGCTAGAATGGGCGCCCAGATCCATCGGGGTGGCTCCAACTTGGCTAAGTATGATATGATGTTAGCAGCGAACATGATGTGTGCCAGAGTATCAGAAAAATATTGTAGATTCAAAGAGAAAGACGTTTGAAACCGTCCAGTCAATGTTGATAGTGCAAGTCAATCTTGGTGATTTGAAAAAGCGAGAATCCTTAGATCATCATAGCGGGTGCCATATCACACAAGGCCCAAATGGACGAGGGAAGGTGCGGAGACCGGGATTTGCTACATTTTAGTACATGATATATTCTCCAATGTGTGCTGTCGGACTTGTCAGACTTAGAATGCGGCATTGACTAGACGCAGATGCTAATGCAAGGTCTACTGCAATAAAATCTGGATCCTGGAGAATGTGGTTGGCTGGCTGGCTGCATGCATATCGTGAATGAAGGGAGAGGGTGCGGTACAGCCACGCGTTGATGCCTTAGGGCCTGCATGCGGGAAGTTCTCTGCCCTCAGGCATGGCTCGCATTAATAAGCACTTGTAGCAGATAAAGACAAACATGGATTGATCAGTAGATAAAATGGATTAGACGAGTTGAATACTTCAGATCACAGCTTTGATGTGTTCAACCTCTGTACTTGTGGGGGCTGAAAGGCCTGTACAGCATCTGGATATTGCATTGGAGAAACCCCAGCCAGTGCGGCTGAAGTGGCCCACAGTAGCACAATCCAGATAGATCGGAACAGCGATGTTTTGATCATCATCCAGTCGGCTGATGAAGAGAGTCATTTATCATTGCTCAAGCTCATTTTACGCATCAATCGGCAGCCAAAACTTGGAGTGGATTGAACCAAAGCCAGCCCGCTTTGCCAATGAGCATAGGAAGAGGAATCTATGCGCATTCATAACTGCAACGTAGACACTGCATAAATCAAGTGACTTTTCCAACTCACCGCTCCACCCTAATTTTGACCAATCAGAATCATCGGAAAGACAGGGCGTCGTTGTCTGCCTGGGGCACCCAGCATCCCATGGTGGCACTAGTCGGACTATTAGTAGTCGAGCTAAAACACACTTACCAGGACGAGAGAGGCCTTCTCCCCAATTATGATCTTCCCCTCAAAGTGTTGGCGAGAGACCCAACTGACAGGCTCTCATCCTTCGCTTCTTACTATGCAAATCCACTGAAAGGTCAAGCTCACTATTCCACCAGTGGAGAAGGTACTACTGCAAGTATGCACTGTAGATATGAACAACCCTCTGAAGCGTGTCCCTACACATAGCCAGCCAACATGAGAAGACAAAGAGCATTCACCCATAGATCCAAGAATGGATGCCGCACCTGTCGGTCAGTCTTTATCTTTCCATTTCCTACTTCTCCACTCCGCTCATCAACATCAAGACTAGGCTCCTGATCCTAGGGTAAGCAGCTAATCCCCCATGTCCGTGCACGCAGGTCCCGCCATATCAAATGTGATGAAACCCCAAATGCATGCCGCAACTGCACCTCCACTGGGCGCAAATGTGACGGATACAACCAGTATCGATTACCCTTTCGTAAGGCGACACTACCAGTCTCCAAACCATCCAGGAGCCTCATCGTCTGTCTGCCCGGACTAGATTCCGATGAGCGTCGATGTCTGCAGTTCTTCGAGCACAACACCATCCCCATGCTAGTGGGGTATGCCGACTCGGAAGTATGGCAGCGTCTCGTGCTACAAATGTGTCACAGAGAACCCGCCGTCTGCCACGCAGTAGTCGCGCTCAGCGCCTTTCACGAAAACTACGAGCGAAGCAGCATGAACATGGAACCAAAACCCGATCACCGCCACCACCACTACGCCCTGGAACAATACAACCGCTCCATGGCAATGCTGCGCCGGCGCATCCAGTCCAATGACCCCCAAGTCCGCAGCATCACACTCATGTGCTGCGTCGTGTTCGTAATCCTTGAACTCCTCGAGGGGGACTACACCAATGCCTTCGCCCATCTACACCAAGGCCTCAACATCCTGAAAACCCAATCAGCTCACCACGCACTAACCACCGAGCGTATCCTCGCCAAAGCATTCCTGCAACTCAACACCCCCCGAGCCTACTGGAACGGCCCCGACGTCGTCGTAACCGGCCACCCTCCCAAGGGGAGCGTGTCCGAAGTAGCCTACTCAAAAACACCAATCCACAGCATCGCCGAAGCAAAAGAGCGTCTACGAGTCCTAATGAACAACATCTTCCACCTCCAATCCCTCTGCAACCTCTTCTTCCGCGGCGAACCAGAAGACCCAACCTCCACCACCCCTCTAACCCTCTCTGCCAAACAAACCACCCTCCACCACGATCTAACAGACTTCGCCCTGGACCTCAAATCATTCATCTCCTCCCACAAATCCAACACCGCCTGGACGTTACGAGAAACCCGCAGCGTGGACGTCATCCTCACACACGTAGCAACCCTAACTAGCATGCTGGGCTGTTCCCTCGACACAACGGAACTAGGCTACGACGACTTCCTCCCTGAATTTACACGCATCAACGAACTCTGCGAGCGAATCACCACCAGCTTCGTGACCGAGTACGGGAGTTACGAGAACCTCCCCACCATGGTCACTGACGTCGGGGTCTTGCCGTCGCTGTTCTGGTGCTGTGTGAGGTGTCGGGATGCAGAGACTAGAGAGCGAGCGCTCCAGTTGCTGAAGATGTGGCCGCATCGAGAGGGGTTTTATGATTCGTATTTGATTGTGGGGATTTGTCGGGGGCTGATGGATATTGAGGAGGAGGGGAGGGATGGCGAGGGGTTTATTCCGAGGGAGGCTCGTGTGCATACGCACACGGTTGAGGTTGCGGAGGATCGGAGGAGTATGGTTATTAGGTATGTGTTGGCTGGTGCTGGTGGTGGCGAGCAGGAGAGGGTGGTGGTGCTGGAGTAAGTACCTTTGGGATTTGTTCCAGGGAAGGGATATTTCATCGATGGTAATGTGTATAGATGGAGAGATCGTATATACAACCATGCAGATATAAATAGTATTACTCTATTAGTGAACGGAAAAGAGAATGATGGAGGACAGGTAGCTCTCCTGGGAAAGGTTTCGGGAATGATGTCCATTTGTACCTCCTATAAAAATCATAGACACTTATTCCAAGTATCTTTATCGTAGTGGGTAATCAGTAACAGCAGGTAAGTGTATACCTGCTAGCATACTATGCATATCACATCAATAGTAATGTAGTAATGTAGTATCACCTCTATTCATCTTGGTCCTACCATCCATCTCGATGTGCTAACTGAAGTACACTTAAATTGCCCCAGCCGGACAGAATTAAGAACTACCTAATACTAGACTAGTGAACTACTAGTCGTGCCTGAAGTGTGAGAACCTTACCAGATCAAACACATATATATAACCCCCCCCCCCCCCCCCCCCCCCCCCCCCCCCCCCCCTTTCCATCCCATCATCCCCTCTCGTAAAACCCC